ATAATCAGTTCTGGCAGTCATATAGGGTTCCCTAATGCTCTTTCCTGTATGCGAAGTGACAACAATGGGGGTCAGCGAATAGCAACAGCATTACCTGCTAAATCTCAGCTGCATGTAAAACCGTTACCTCAAGCCTCGAACTGTCTTGTCCCGCCTAAAGTGCTCTGGCCAGTGTCCAAGCTCATCAAGAATATCGATGGATCCGGTCAACTTGATCGATAGGAAAAAGAACGGTTGACCTAGGTTTATCACAAGCATCATTGGGCGACTCTGTATCGTCATTTTGTTTGGATATACGTACATCCATTGGTCATAAAGTTATGGGACACGTGCTGCCATTCTTGCACCCTACACACGGTGTAATTGGGTATTATGACTTTCCGAACCCATCAACGAACCACATGGATTATGCGGATTTGGTGTATGGATTGACACCAGTGTGCCTCCACCGCGTTGTATATGGAGCGCAATTAAGCGGATTTTACCCATAGATGGAAATAGCAGCAACCCACTGACTCCTATCGATGCGTTACGTAATCAACAGCCTATTAGCGTCATGATGCAGAGGACACAACCTAACTCTCCAGCTCCCACAGGCTATTGCAGTAATCATGGACTCTCCCCCGAACCATTTTCTAAAGCGCCATATTCAGTCTCAATCCCCTCCGCAGTGGCCACCCCCAAATCATTTCCCACCGTTGGCAATACGCCCACTTCTTCAACAATTTCCAACCTGGGTCCAGGCATACGGTTTGAAACCCCCAGTGTTTATAACAAAACCTAAATAATCTTCCTCAGATCTCACATCTATCTCAGTATTTTTGGTAAACATTCGCTCTCCTTACTCTAAGATCCACACACTACGCTCGTTTGTTTTGGTTAATAATCCTGATATAATATTTATAACTGAATCTTGATGCTATGATTGCCTGTCTGACACCCAGTTAACTATGTTCGGATACAACAAGTTTATGAGAAATCGGCCTGGTCGTCGAGGCGGTGGCTGTGTAATTTACCTGAAAAATCGCTAGCAGCATCAACATTCGATAACCCAGTGTTGAACCATATTCAGGAATCACTCTGGCTTACGATATCAGTCAATCAGCAGCAGCTACTTATGGGATGTATATATAGCACGCCAAACGGCAGCCAAGAAGACCTAGAACTATTGACGCTTGCATTTGAATACGCCGTTAGCCTACCATTTTTACATAAGATTATTGGAGGTGATTTCAACCTGCCTTCGATTTCATGGCACATGGGAAACGCTCCATTGAAATATCAAAATCTTATCTCCTGTATCCAAATGAATGGTTGGCAGCAACCCGTCTCCCAACCCACCAGAGGTGAAAGTACTATGGATCTCATTTTTTCATTGCGCATACCTGCAATCAGTGTTAAGGTTCTTGGTGAGTTTCCGGGGAGCGGTCATCGCGTGATCAAATGCCGCCTAAGCCTACGCATGGCCCATATACAGCAAACAATACATTATCGTCTGTTCAGTTCTGTCAACTGGGACTCTTTCAAGAACCTGGTTCGTTCGATGAATTGGGATAACTTCTTTCTCTCTTCGTGTCCTCAACATGCCACGGACCTGTTTTATAGTATAATTGGCTTCTACATTGATTCAGCAGTACCAATAAAATGTGCTTACCAAACTAAACATAAATCCGATCGCAAGGCGTTGAAGGCAGCACGTAAGCTTCATAAGATTCGTCAGAAATTCAAGTTAACTGCTGACTTTGCGCTATTATTACAGCAGTCGAAGAACAGAGGCATCAATGTGATAGAATTTTCATTCTAGCAGAGTATAAAGCTTTGAACGGCCCTAACAAAACAGCTGAGCTAGCCAAACTATTCCGTGCCCAGGGTTCGCGTTGCAGCGGCAATTTTAATTTTATCATCACGCCCGAGCGAACATACTATGACACACCAGGTGATATCTGCGAAGCTTTTAGTGCTTATTTTGCCGAATCAATGCTCAATGAATCACCAGACACACCAAAACTTATTATGCCGCATAACAATGAAGGTCTATGCACAGTGGAATTCACTATAACGAAAATCACTGGTCAAGTCTCTCGCTTATACTCCTCAACATGCGCAGGCCCTGATGGGATCCCACTTGTTTAATAAAAAGCAGTGGTAGCGATTTCCTTTTACTTTTGTTAAACATCTTTACAGTCTCTTTTAACAATGGACTATACCCTACTCAATGGAAAACCTCAATCGTTATCCTGCGACATAAAAATGGCGCTGCCCACGAGGTTAAAAACTTTCGTCCCATCAATCACACCCATTGTATATAGAATAATGAAAAGGATAGTGAAAGATGAACTAATTATATTTTTAAACAACGCTAACATTAGCAGCAATTCGCAACATGGCTTCATGCCACATTGACTTTTTAAACCACACAACGGAAACAGTGTCGTAATCCTGTTCCTGGATTTGCAGAAAGCCTCTGATAGAGTGCCGCACAGAAGGTTACTAAACAAACTGAAGACTATAGGCATTGGAGAACCGATGTTCTCTTGGCTGTCTTCATATCTAATTGGTAGACAGCAGGTGGTGCGCATAGGCAACCATCTCTCTAAACCGAAAGCAATCACTAGTGGAGTGATTCAAGGGAGTGTTCTTGGTCCTCTTCTTTTTCTAATTTGTATTAACAATATATCCCAGAGAATACGAAATGGTGTTGTATTTATCTTTGCGGATGACATTAAAGTTGTCTACTCACAACCACGTGCAAATACTCAGGAAGCCGTACGTCTCATTCAGGATGACCTATCTGCCCTTGATTCCTGGTGCCAACTGTGGCAGATGTCATTCACCGTGGACAAGTGTAATATTTTGTCGTACAAATGCCAAGTACCGCCAGACAGTTTATTGCTACAAGGCGCATATGTATCGCAATGCAGGGTAGTGCGAGACTTGGGCGTGCGATATTCAGTCACGTTTAACTTCTATGAATACTGTGACTTTCAAGTTTAGAAAGCCATGAAGACCATCGGTTCCATCTGCCATCAATTTTACCTCACGGAACCTCGCATATCGCTTTACAAAACGTATGTATTACCGTGTATGGAATACTGTTCAATGGTACAGTCTAATCTACGGAAATCTGACCAGCACCCTCTTGAGATGGTAAAGAGACGCTTCACGAAAAAGCTATGTGGATATTCCTCAAAGTTGACATACAGAGAGCGATGTGATAAACTTGGATTTGACCCAGTTTGACTTCGGATAATGAAACTGAACCTATATTTTCTTTACAGAATCATAAATTGTCCAATTCGCAGTCTTGAAAACGGTGTTCACATATCTGTAAACAGCAGATATCCAATACGTAACAAAGAGGTAGCCATGATTCCAAAATTTACTGCGAGAATCAGAGAACGTTTTTCTCTAACCCAATACTCAAAGATTTGGAAAAACTTCCAAGTGATATCCGAACATGCTATACACTTTGCAATTTTATGCTTGCGATTAGTAAGCATTTAACCGTCCAAAACGTGATTAATATGTTGGGGACATCACAGTCCCTAGATAACGCATTCGAAAACGGCATCCATGGTGCCTGAATAAATTTTCGACACATGCACAACATTTCGGACAACAGCTCCTTTCATTACATCGTATTTCTCGGCCCAAATATCTGTCATGTGATTGTGAAGAATCCTGATTCAATGACAGGAAAAAGTAGCAGAACGATTCTGATTGCTCTGTGTTACATAATTCGCAATTGCGCCCATGTTTATTTCTGAAAATATATTAACGAAATGTTATGGAAAGTTCGTATCATTATTGACCTGTTCCTTTTAGGGAACAGCTTCTCGCATCGTCGAGGAATATACAATTTATTTATTTAAATAACGCTAGTACACTGATATTTCTATATGAAGAAAGCCAACAACCTTTCCAGCTCACACAACCCGGCCTACAGCGTTTTCCGCCCGCATTCAGTTATCTCACACCATTGTAATACCATGCTACGCTGAAAGCCAAGTACATGACAGTGGCTCACATAACTGCCACCTTGTAAACTACTAAGCAACATGCGATTGACAGTGCCTTCCGTAAGACTGAATAGCCACGTTAAATGACGGTGCTCCTCCAAACTAAGATCACTCGTAGTTGGTCGATTTACCTGAATAATTAACAAATTGGTGATCCCCTTGTACGATTTGATTGGGCCAAAAACCTGGGCCGTGTCACGCACAGTCAAGAAACAAACTATTTATTCGTACGTTCGACAACGTCGTCACTACTAGCGTCAAACTCACTCCACCGTGTTTAGACACCGATGTCCTAGCTACCCTAAGTGGATTTTGTCATCATAATCCAGTCAGCTAAATTGACGGCGACGGCATACGCCCATCATACCGACTCACGTGGCCTGAAGATGCTTTCGCGTCAAAAGCAAAAGGGTACCAAATGAATAAGTTGACTGATTGTTTTCAAATCTTTTTGAAACCATAAAATATCGATCGGTTCCAAGTATATTCCAAGAGTTCGAAGGCGGGCAAGTATTCGCAGTGGATCTCAACACTACACCTAAGTGGCTGAAATATGAAAGAATCAGAGCTGGTAGAGCGAAAATGATGTGGTCGCGTTTCCAAACACATATCCAGTGAAGTAATCGAAACGGCGGAGCAATCTGCGCTGGTCGAGAAAAAAAAGCAAAGCATAAGCAAGCTGAACTGCCCATCCACATGGAGTTCCTCATAACGAGTGATGGAATCGTTGTTATCCCGACTGTCTCATTAGTGGTCGACTCCCTAAGACCATTGGCATTGATTATATGGAATAGAATGTGGGTCCTATCCACCGCCCCGCATCCTCTGTTTTCCAGTCATCCGAGTCTATCAAGTTATATTCCGCATCGAACTTGGTAGCCTGCTGAATAGCAATTAGCAATAAACTTCATAGTGCTGTAAATTGTGCTGGTGGAAGTACAGATCCACTTGATTCCGAAATCATATAAGACGGAGATTAAAGCCGGTTTAATACAGATTATATTTGCGTAATGGATAGATAAAACTGATGGAAATAAAAAGATACTGTTTCGGGGTATGAAACAATACGCAGATCTGTACATATATAGAGTATGTTTAAGTACAATAAGGTGGAAGGTGTCGAAGATGATTAAGAACAGAAAAGCGACTGTACTTCAAATGCATGGAGCAGAGTTCAAGTTTTTCATCTGTAAAGTAGGAATGAGAAGTGGATTAAGTAAAGAGCATGACGTTAGGATCAATGTGTAGCAGTGAGCAAATGTTATTCTGAAATACGAACAAATGATCTTGAGGATCCTTTCTAAAGTTGGCTTCACCAGTCTGACAATTCTGATGAGGATATTGAATACAGTGAAAGCCAAGCTCGTACATAACAAGTGAGTGAAACAGTAATTTTCATATGCAGTAGTTATTTGTAACGAAAGTGTAATGGATTTTAGCAATAAACTATAGTATTTAAAAACTTTACTTTTTCCGGCCTCGAGTCATGTTGCTGGTTCTGGAAGGTTTTGATTGTGAACTCCGCCGAGAGACCTTACGACCGATTTCCAAGGTGCTTGGTCCCCCGAGTTTGGGTCTTTTTGGATCGGCTGAGATTGGCGTACGACCACGCTTTTTCACAGACGGTTGTGAGTCAGACTTCCGCAAGCATAGACGTGTAGACGAATTGTCGGCGCTGAGCTGGTTGTTCTTTTTCACACCGGGCAGGTTACTTCCCGGTGTAGTTTTTCGGGAAACAGTTGTGATACTGGTATTAAGGTGGGTGGACTGAGATGCATGTCTTATCCTCACATTCTTTTTGGATTGCATAGTCGCTGGCGATGACACAACACCCGGAGCCGCTGCAGTTTTTGAGCTCTTTTTAGGGGAAGATTTAAGCAGATTCTTTAAGGTGACATCTGCGGATGATCGTCGGCGCTTTCGCTTGCGGCCACATCCGGTGATCGCATGCGGTTCAAGTTTCGGAGCCGGTGTCCGCTTGTCGACGGACGATTGAGCAGACGAAATTGTAGACTGAGTAGTGGGAATACTTCGACTACTGCTCTGAGTCGTCAAGTTTGGATCTGGCACTTCGTCAAGGTCGATTGACCGGGGAATCTCGTTATCAGTGAGGATAGCGGATGAATCGACTTCATTCGGCTCTAAAACATGCCGATCTCTCGGAAGTTGGGAAGCATTAGCAGTGGAATGACCAGGTTTGCCAGCGTTCGGGGGAAGTGATGGGTCAACTGAAGTAGAATCGACAGCGGAGGTCCTGTAAAGGAAGTGGAGCCTGATGATGAACGAGAAATAATATGATCAGATAAAAATGGAATACATTACAAACACGCGACAACGCCGGTTAAAAACATATTCGGCCACGTTGTAGGCGTTAGCTGTAACTTATCCACGCAATTCGCAAGATAGATAACGCGATTTGCCTGAACTACGAGCTGTTTGTCCACCCATTTGATGTACCATAATTAAATACCAACCGACATAAGTGTCATCTAATTCACAAGAGGGATAATGAAGTTTAACTCTGGACACCTACCACCTCTTCCTTCACCCACTCAATGTCTCATGGCGTCATGGAAACCGACGTAACTATTATGTAATGTGCAAGAGGCATGTCGGGACCTCACTCTGGATGCCCAAACCAGACGCCTCCCCATCTGATGAACGCCGTCTTACCGATTATCCTTCATGTGAGCTCATATCGATGTTGCTATGGATTCACTTCACATCTCCCTGTGGAAACTGTTCACAATTACATTGTGCAACCTGTCTAGCCTATCCACACATCTAAGATGTGAATCCTCCTCCCGCCCAAGGAACACACATTTCCAGGTTCCTCCTACGTTCCCTGTCTGACTGAGATACGAAGCCACCCCAAGAGCCCAGCCCATCGCGTTTCCCTTCATAAGCTGTATAGCGAACCAATGAGCCAAGCGTTAGCGGATCTAATAAAAGAAGTTGTAGTCCGATCGTGGACACTGTATTGTGTGACTCTTGATGGCAAGGACAATTTGCATTCTTTACGGGCATTTTGAGGACCAGTTGTTGCGAAAAGGAGCGGGTATTGTCGAGGTATTTACATGTTGTATGTTGATTCCCGTTTGAATAGTACCTTAGTTAACGTCTCGGCTTTCTTTCTTGGTTCGATCCGGGAGTATCTATGCGTCATTCGAGACCCAAGCGAATTTGTCGTTTACAGTAGGCCCATAATTATAACCCATAGGTCGCACAAACGTAGATGAAACGACGAGGGCTTGAGAATTGGTGGAGCGCCTACAAGGCCTGGTAACACTTCTATTTAGAGACTTATGCAGCTCAAAAACGGTATACTTTGCTTTCATATAGAGAGAAATAGCTTAGATACTGCAATGACACGAGTGCGTTCTACCGGGATTATCAGTAGACAGCGCTGGTCGAAAACCGGTTAACGGTATGGTCAGGGGAGTAGAATAAAATATGATAAACTATCAGTGATATCAAAAAGCTGTATACCTGAATGAATATGCTTATAGGGCAACCGCACGTTAACCTCGGAACCACTCCAATAACTGTCTCATAACTCACAGGCATCTTTTGTAAAGTCATACACGACAGCAGGTCGTAGCGCAGACTACGTAGGGAACAGCACTGGTGTTTACACCATTGCATGAATTCGGTAAAAGTTAATCACATCATACCCACTCCCTTTACTTGGCGATCGCAATGTGGCTGAACAAGAATGTGGTGTGACAGCCTGTAAACCCATCAGATTCATTTTGCTCTGCTAGGTGATGCTTCTGGGCGCGTTGCAACTAATTGTGATACAATGATTAATGGTTAGAGATCAGATGAATGCCGTCTCCGGATCCTCCTGGTAGGGAGTTAAAAGTGGGATATAATGTTGACTTACCTTGAGAGCAACAAGTAATTGTTCGATGCCTTGTAATGAGGTTTTCGAGCCGAAAGCCCTAGTGAGGACCCCAATCATTCTGCTGTCTGTGTTTGGGCGTTCTGGTAGCATCGCAATCCCAATACAACCATGGCTTTATAGTCAAATTGTAGCCTCATCCTATATCTACAGTCGTGCAGTTAAAAAAGATCATATTATCTGCTGCATACAACAGCTATATGATCAGGGTACCGAAGTTCAGCGGATACAGTTGTCACCTTGTCAGAATAACAATAAATGACAACGGCAAAAATGAGATTAAACGCTAATAGAATACAAACGAAACGGAATCAAGAAAGAAGCGCATTAATCAGGATAGAATAAAAAGTAAAACCAGATGCAAGAAACCGAATGCAGGAACGCCAATGACTGTGCGACTGCGCCATGTCTAATAGAGTCTCCAGCAACTGATATGGACCATCCCGGGGTCCCCATCCACGAAGACGGCATTCACCAGCCTGACCAAATCTCTCGGTCCGTTTCTTCATGCCTTTATGTCACGACATCAATTGGCCACCTCGCGGTTTCACTCAACTTGGTGCAGCCACGGCGTATAATACACGCCGAAGTAGCCGGTCAACAGGTATAAGGAAGACATGCTGCGACCAACACAAGCAGTTAAGATTCATCAAACACTCGAGTGAAGCACCAGAAGCCTTCATGCAAAAAACCAGCTGGCGGACCAAGGCAATGCTCACTCGGTGTTCCCATCAGACGTCAGCAATACCCAGCAAGCAGCGGTGATCAACGACGGCTACTCACGTAATGCCGTCAATGCAAACGAACTGACTGGTCTTATTGCAGCATTGTACACTCTACCTTTCAATAACAAGCTTATACCCCGTCGTCTCCATAGACGGTTGAGCCCCAGGAAAGACATACAGGCCTTGTTGATAGTAAAGTAACTTTATCTGTGATGTGACCACCAGAGGTGATGCAGCTATCAACGTAGCTAAACCGATCCACCACTTTCAGTAGCTGTTCGGTGATCCAGTCCAAGCGACCACTTAAGCGACCGACAAAAAGTGGTCGCCTTGGACAGGCGGTCACCACGGACAGGTTCATGCATAGGGACATTACTCAATGGAAAAAATGCTGGGGATGTTTTTGGCTGGTCGTCATAGAAGGTTAAAAACTGTAGGTAGAAACGGTGGCGTCTCGGTCCAGTCCTGCACATGCTGGGGCGTGCAGCGCTGTGCGCCAGTCTATTCAGTAGCGCTTGCACAGCCACTGCGCCAGACCCAGGGAGAGTTACGTCTTCCGCATACTCACCATGCAGAACTTCAAAGCTGGAAGAGTCTAAAAGAACGGAGTCATATATAATCATTTCGTTCCCAAAGTTTAGTGGAAAAAGTGATATAGGACAACCCTGGCGAACCCCTTTGTGGAGATCTCAAAGGACCGCTTCTAGTAGACCCCTACTAAGACTAAGGAAACACGGTAGAGAGGGACTTCCGAATGGAAAGGAGTTTAGTTGGCCGGCCCTTCATGGATAGGCACTGCCACAACTTGGCGCGGTTAACAGTCATAGATGGCTTTCAAGTCAACGTCGTCTGTATGTGTGTCACTGCTCTAAAACTTGGCGAAGAATAACTATGTGATCAATCCAACTACGAGGAGGGCGGAAAGCAGCCTGGCTTTCAATGATTCGAGTCTCACGAGGAACAGTAAGTCGTCTAAGAAGGATACTTCTGAGAAATTTGCGGACAAAGGAAATAAGGCTAATGCCATACAATGCTTTTCGCACAAAGTACGCTGATTCTTCTTAAAAACGGACACAGTAGTTTACAGATGTCAGTCTGGAGGTACCTCTTCAGTGTAGCAAATCGTGTTAAACAGAGCAGCGAGTCCAGTCTAATTTCTAGAAAAGAGGGACCAGGAACCTTGTTCCGTTTCAACACGGAAAGCTCATGTCAAATATCTTCCGAAATGTAAAGTGTAACAACAACTTTCTACATCGGCTCAGATGATTCAGCTAGCTGCAGTGTCGCAGCAGGACAACTGAACTGTTCTTTAAATGTTCCGCCCAACGGGCTAATCGACGAAGCTTAGAATGGATCAACGGTCTATCTTTCTCAGTTAATATCCCACTAAATGATGGCTTTCTCGGACTCGAGTTCCGGATGAGATGGAAGAGCACTCGACTGTTCTCAATAGAGATGGCTTTCTCTAGCTCACGTGCCCTTGCCAGCCAACAACGTTCCCGATTGATTCGAAGACCCATTGTCAGTCGTCGTTTCAGGGTGTTATGGGCACGTTGGAACTCAGTACTCATTGACACTTGTTTCCGTTTTGCGATCCAGCTGATCGATTCGTCAGAGATCAGTCCATAGTTGGGATATCTCAAGTTAGGTGTACACTAGGCAAGAAAAGTATTCCTTATGCACACTTGAGGCGATCTCAATCAACGTTCGCATCACCAATCTCATTCGCCACTGACAATTGGTGGGCCAGTTCGTCATGATAGTGCAACTGTGAGTTCGAGTTACAAGTGAGAGTTAAGAAATTAGGAGCCTCTTTGGAGCGGGAAGAGTAAGCACCAGGCGTAGGTGCACTAGGGTATGGTCGCAATCCAGGCATCTGCACCAAAGTGACCGAGAGTATTGGAATGACGCGCGCCATCTATAGTTGATGGTAATAAAGTCAATTTGGGCCCAGATCATCGAGGAATTCGGTGGGCTACAGGTGACGCGATGATAACGCTTGTGCTGTAAGTTAGTGCTGCTAATCTAAAGATTGTGGTCAGCGCACAATTGCAGGAATCCATCACCATTGTTTGCTCAGCCTTAATCGAATTAGACATTCATGTCAGCAGCAACAATCACGATGTCAGTCGTTTTCGCCGTATGGAGAAGAGATGAAAGATGGTTTTAGAAATAGTCGTTGGCACCCTCCGAACCGCAGTCAATAGAGGCATAAACGAAGACAATGAAAGGGTACATTGTCTTCCGACAGGGATTATTGATCCCAACAGAGAACCTTGCGGCTGTTCACTAGTATCCAGTCAAGTAGATTGCCTTCAGCATATTTGCTGAGGTCGATGCCGACAACATAAATGTCTAGAGCCATTGACTAGTAGATCCAGAGATGAGAAGAGCGTACTCATTGGCAGTAGTTTAAGAAACAGGAAGTCGGAAATTTGTCATACCGCTGTTATCTTGAATATACGTTTTGGAGACACAGCACACATCAATACCAAGTGAGTGAGGAGTAAGGGTTAGTGCTGTCTGTTGGCCGATCTGACCCAGAGTGCGGACGTTAAAAGAGTCAAGGTGAACTAAGACTCTAGGTTTACTGGACGAGCTTCGTGTATCGATGGCAACAGCTGCAAGATCAGCGGCAGTCTCTTGCTCAATACTCGGGGAGGAAGAGGGTTGAGAGGGGAAGTAAAAACAAGAGGAAGAAAAGTGAGTACTTTGACGAGGTGGAGAGGGCGGCTGCCAATTCCGAGAGAGGAGTTTTGTTTGAAGTGCCTCATTTCGAGCGTTTGACATAACAGTCTGACGCACAAGGCAGTGGAGTACATGGAGGTTCGCTTGAGGGACCGCACCAGAACCTTTGGCTCAATAATCCGACCCACAACACAGTGGAGGGGGGATCAAGTCAAGCCCGGGAACGTGATAGCAGAGACCTATCGGGATCAGTTTGAGGCCAGTCACACATAGTTTCTTTTAAGATTCAGAACAATGCACGTGTTTTACGATCGTAATATGTTACAGCTTACGATACTCACTTCAAAGCAGTGGCGCCTTGACGCCTCTCTTTAAGAAGTTCCGCGGGCATCAGAGCGTCCTTTAGTAAACGCGCAGATTTTGATGGGGTAAACTGTATCAGCGGCTGTCTAACGCCGATCGTCTCGCCATTGCTGGTTCCGGCATGAGTTCTAGTATGTTCAATCGCCGGACCCAATAGTTGGGCGAAGTCGGGATTCTTGAAATCCGAAGGAGCGGCGCAAAATAAGGTCTTTGGTAGCTTCACGTCAACAGGATATTCTTTGATGGTTAGATCGGAAGAACGAGTTAACAAGAGGCCCAGGGCAATATCGCACGTTATGTACAGTTTCTAAAGAAAGAGATGTAGGCATTTGAAGGCATGCTTTGTATGCGGAAAATAACTGATAAGTAATAAGAAAACACTTGACGTTGGTGTCTAACCAAACAATACTAGGAAATGATAGTGTTATGAGGCTTCGGATAGAGTTCTGAACAGGCATCATTATACACTATGTAGTGCACACAGTTGGGTAACAGAAAGAGAAAAGCAGTATTCAAATAAATGATAGCAAATTGTCGGATTTAGCCTCGCCAGCTTCCGAAAAGCACAATGCTGTACATAGGCCCGAAGAAGTACGACCATATGGTAAAGAACACAGTTACAGACCAGTTAACCATCGGATTTTGGGCAATAATCGTTGTTGCTTTGACGTAAACAAATCGACAACATCTAAGTGCTCGCATAAAGCGGTAACGAACTGGGAGACCTGGTGTCCAGAAGTTATCGATGGGATGGAATCGTAGTATTCGTCAGGGATGTTCCCAAAGCTGGCACATGCTAACCGAGGCACGAAACACAAAAGACCGGATGCGGGTGAAACAAACTGCGGAATCGGGGGACACAACAAACAACAATTATTATAGGAGAGGTGAGTCAGCAGTCAGAAAAATGGGATGCAGTGGCCAACAAACTACGCTCCGGCACGCCTAAAGGAAACGGTGTTCCCTTGTATACCCGTGTTCACGAGGTGTAACAATCAACCACCCCGAGTGTCTTGCTAAGAGTGAGGAGGTTACGGCTGATAAATCGAGGTTGCTAATTTAGCATGACGGGGAATAATATCCAATGAATGAAACAAATAGGCATTGACCAAGCCAAAAGGTGCTAGAGATTCAGTCGCAGTTGTGATCAATTGAAAAACACAAATTTTGTTGATCACTTCAAGGGTTATCTGCGGAAAAGAGGGGGAAATAGATGAGTAGTTGGCTGAGCCTCTGTTCAATCAAGAATCTGTGGACCAAATCGATCAATCTACTGAACACTTATTAAAAAAAATCGTATGCTTGCGGCTGTCAGGATTTTGCAGGACAGACCTGCCTCATGGGGATGCAATTCGGTAAGCCAATTTTTGGGTTGGCTCAAGGAGCTATCATTGAAGAAGTAGGATCATATGATGTCCAGTTGCTCTTTGACATTCTCCAATGGGATATCTAACTTCTTTTTTTGTAGTTAATTTATCTCGTGGAGCAAGTTTGAAGGTTGAGAACGGATGCGTTGCAAACTTTAAGCATGTGTAAGATCAACTTGTTTATCTATCCATCAAGAAACTAGTTATATCTATTGGCAAGTGTTGTAACACGATGTGACGTGCGCATGATAACTAATAATGATAAATAATGTGCCAGCTGTACGTCGTAACGACGCTCCACTGCCGTGCGACCACCACCAGTCGCACGCGGGCTGAGTGTACCGCCAGGAAGCTCAGCCCTACGCGGATTCGAACCCGCGACACAAGATTGTGAGACAAGATCGCTACTTCTAGACTATTAGCCGCTCAATGGTACATGAGTAAAAACAAAGACCATTGCTCTTTTTGTCTTTGAGGATGAAAGTAGATAGTCAAATATAAAATGATTCAAACGTAGGTACAGTTATGCAGCCAAGGAATGGGTACAAACAACGTGCAACAGCATCGTGTCTTCCTGCGAGATCTAATCACTTATCAGGGAAGTGTTGTCGTAAATGTCAGCATCTCAAGACGTTTATGTCACAAAAGTGCGCCCATTGGACAGGCCAATATAATAGGCGAACCCTAAGCACCCGTCATTCTAGGTTGTTTAACTGGGAAAAACAAATTTTGTTGTAAATTAAAGATGGTTCCTCGCGGTCAAATACCAGTCAGCCCCTATGCTGAGTCTGTGCGTTGGGTGTAAATAAATGGGCTCAGAGACATGTGTCCCGTTATGACGTGAAACAAGGTGAACTACGGAGAACGTTCGGATAAATAAGTAGTTTAATGGATTACAACAAAAACGTTAGTTAGTCATATGTAAGATCAGTTTTGCTAAACTGGTTGCAGGGAAAGAGTATCCACAAATAAACTTGGGTGTTCAACGTCCGAACAAAATGTATTCTGATGAACAAGTGTGTTGGGTAGGGCCTTTATGTAGTCTCTAAACTGTACGGTCCTGATTCGGCTAAGTTTGAAAATATGCAAATACGAAGTAGACCAAAGACATATGGCCAGATTGGGGCAGATGATTGGATCCAGAATGCAATCCGATGTGCCTGGTGGACCAGCAGAGCTCAAGAAATGGAGGAAACGGTAGCAGCAGGCAACAGCCGCAAAGTTTTCTAACTGATCCGCACCGCCAGTCCCAGGAAACTAGGCATGAGAGAAGCAGAGACAACAAGAGTGCTGTTGAGTGGAGCACTTTTGAGAGCAGGTCAGTTAGGCCCCTACTCCTGGGTCTCTTTTTATTCAGATGGTGCACGCTGAGACGTTGTGAGTTAGTTTAGAGGCTCAACTAGAGGCTGAGATCCGTAGCGCGATCCCAACCCTTAATCGTTTTCGAGCTGTCGGTCGGGATTCCCTCGCATCCACACTACTCAAGGATGGTGATAGCACTGACTTAGCTGATAGAACAGAGCTGATAAGGTCACAGAGGGGAACTAAGAAACCATATCAGTCGGCCGGCCACCGTAGTAGTATCAGCCGCATGAATCGTTTTTGTACACAAAATTCCGGCTTCAGATGGTGGATGTATATAGCCCCGGCAATAGACAAGAGTTGCTTTCGGAATCCTTGAGAGAAGCGTTCACCATTTAAGGGCGATACTGCAGCTGATATCTTACCTCGACGTCTGAAAAATGCTGTTGAGAAAACTTTTTTCGCAGCCCGCTTGAGAATTGTTTACCACAAACCATTGCTTGCGAAACCTTTGAAAGGTAGTCTGTCCTCTTTGACCCGTTCAATGCTGGTTTATCGTACTCGTGCTCCTGTGTTGCACGATACGTGGGTCGCACAACGAGAAGTCTATCCCAGAGAATTCGCGAGCACATCTCGGCCTGGTTTTACAAAGGCGAAATGTAGTCCTCAGACAGTTTAATCATGTCGCACCTCCTAGAAGGTGGCCATACTGCATTTGGGAATGACTTTAAAGTCATCTACTCACTACCTGAACGCTTTTCGCAAGGATTCCGAAAGCAACATTTGTCTTTTGCCGAGGCTATCTACATCCACCATCTGAAGCCGGAATTTTGTGTACAAAAAGGATTCATACGGCCAATACTACTACCGTGGCCGGCCGACTAACATGGCTTCCTAGTTCCCCTTTGTGACCTTACCTATTTACTTTGGACTGCTGAAGCTTGTGTATTAATGTTTCTTAGGTGCACTTTTCTTGCCGTCGGTAGCCGCCTTTAGTCATCGACTCTGGCCGTTCAAACAGTTTAGAAATCAATCCCGGCGCGATTTGAAGCTTACCCCAAACAATCAGCCTTATGTGAACGGTTGAGTCTGATGAGAGTTTACCGAAAACAATTCTTAACCCTTAACTGATTTCTGGTCTTGATTCATGTTGTCGAATTTCCCCATTTTTGTGCAACTTCGTCGTAGACTCTAGGATGCAGGCGTCGAGGTGCTGCCTGGTGAAAAGCTAATTGATCTTGATAACACGGACGATATTGTTTGATGGTTACCGGTGTTGAGGTACGCTAGTAAAAGATGAATAACCTTCCTAGATTGGTCCATCCCATTATTTGACATGCGCTTCGCACCTACAAAGTGAAATGTTGCTTCAAGAACGCCAGGCATTGGATGACATTTGGTAGTCAGGAACTCAAGGTAGCTGATCAATTCATTTACCTTGGAAGCTGCATCAGCATATGTGAGCGCATATCCACTGAAGTCAGTTCGCGTACTGCGAAGGCTAGAACCGACTTATCGAGACTGCGACATTGGTACAGGATTTTTACGAATTACGTCCGAAACTTGGAGCGGCTGCGTTCACGTGCTGACGTACCCCGGCCCGCTGAATTGCCAACTGTCCAATGGCACGAATTGCTTTACCGAACGTGCCGACAGGGGTGAGATGGAACAATGAGGCGAGACCTGCGTGTCTACGATCGTAAGGCACACCAAGGGAACCGAGGTCGTTCGGCTGTGAGAAGTGAGTGTTAGCCAAACACCGAAGTCGTACTGGACGTGTTATGCTTCGATCGAATAGTAGTCGGCTTTCACGCAGGTAAAAGGGATCCCTGCGAAAGGGCTAGTGACTCGCTGTTTTTGCAGTTGAGAGGAACAGCCTGGTCCTAAGCAATGGCCGATGGGCGTGGGTTACTATCGCACTACATGGCAAAAGACAATCGCAAAAACAGCTGCTATAGCCTCATGATTGGCTTCTAGCAAAGCCGGAAGCTTTCATTACTAAGGGGAATCACACTGCCAGGAGCACTAAGGTTGCAGTCTTGTTCGCTGTAACGTTTCGATCGAGTGTTTGTTACAGCTGAAAATTCACCCTTTATGGGTGCATAAAAGCAAATTCTTTACATGACAATGCTCTTAGATTTCAGTCTGCCTCGACGCACTAGTCGCACCATTAGGCAGCACACCAATTTAGTCATGAAGGTAACTATTGCCCTCAAAATCAGACAATTGCTTGTTGTGCAAACTGATCATGCCGTCGATGGTACTTCTCGTGTGCTGTCGAGTATGTGCATTTATTCATTTGTTTACTTATATTTGCACGTAATGTTTGAGATGTCTGTAAATATCAACGAATTAGGTGTTCGAAGTGCCCTCTGTCGTTTTGGCTGCAGAGCAACATTCGCCGGATGGCGTTGGCGAGCACTTTCTGCAATGTCTACAAGGAAATCTGGCTACATTCGTTCATAATGTTCTCCTTAGGTTCATCCAGGCTGTTCGCTTTTGTTCTATAGACTCTACGCTTCAAGTATCGCCATAGGAAAAAATCCATGGGATTCAGATCCGGTGACCGCACAAACCACTCTATCGGTCCTCCGCGACCGATCCAACGTTCACCAAAAGTCTCGTTCAGGTAGGCGCAAACCGGTTGCGCCGACTGTGCAGGTGTGCCATCCTACTGCCACCAAACGTTAATTAGTAACCCTTCCGACTGTAGCTGCGTTATGACGTTGGTCTGCAACATTTCCATGTATGAGGATGCTTAGAAATACCAGACATTAGTACTGTTAACCAACAACCTACCGGACACACTCCTGGAAGAGAAAAAGAGCCCAATGATTTGTCGACCAGTCAACTCTGCCCAGGCCATAAGTTTCGGGATATGTTGCACATTGCCGTAGGTTAGTTGTTTCCCAACTATGTTGTCTATTTTCGCCATGCAGATGGGAAACCACCTCATCGGTGGACCCAATGGAATGTACGTTCAGGCTGTTTAAAAACCAATGGGCGAATTCCAGGCGCTTCTATGAATAGCATGTGCTCAACACTTGCACCTGAAGTGCACCTAACCGTCGAAATTTCTCCCTTCAATATCCGATGCACAGCGTACGATGTGGTTTCGCAAGGTTGTGCGAGTTGCCGAATGTTGAGATGGCTCTTACTGCATACCACTTGCACAACCGTGAAAGCTAATACGTCATCCGTGATGCTTCGAGGCAGTCCGATTTGTCTCATGTTGCAAACGCTGCCAGTTTCTAGAAATTTCTTCACCAGTTGACGCACATACCGCTCGTTAATGGGCCGCGCAACGCAGTGCATAGTGTTATAGCACCTTGCGTTTGCTGCTGCGTTGGACACACACTCACCACACAGTTGCACAATAACCAAGCGCTGTTGGACCGGCACATTACGTGACTACGGTTGCGGATACAGCGACACAGGTGTAAGCTCCCGCTCCATTGCTAAAACAGCGAGCCATTAACCACCTCACGGGAATCCCTTTTGTTGGTTTTTTTCCTCTGCGTGAAAGCCGACTACCAATCGATCGAACCATGACGCATCGAGTGCCGCTTCGGTGTTTGGCTAGCATTCACTTCTACAGCCGAACGGCCTCGGTTCGCTTCGTGTGCTTTGCGATCGCATCATGGCACGTCCAGTGCGGCTTCGGTGTTTAACTAGCACTCACTTCTCACAGTCGAACGGCCTCAGTTCTCTTGCTGAGCCCGGCGACTGTAGCCACCCAGGTCCCGCCTCTGTGTCCCAGCTCACCCCTGCAGACACGTTCGGCAAAGCAATTCGTGCCATTGGACAGTTGGCAATTCAGCGGGCCGCGGTACGTCAGCCCGTGAGCGCAGCCTAGTTTCGGACGTAAAACACCCTGTAGTTTCAGGTGGGGAGTTCTGTCGAGCTGGAAGGCCGTGTGTACAGGGACACAATGAGGGCAGTCCTAATATGCGATAACGAGAATTGGACCTCTGTCTAAAAATTTTTAGATACTCCCAAGATTTTGATCATCGCTATCTGCGCAGCATTGTGGTGTCGGGTGGCACCAGTTTGTCCGCAACGACAATGTGCGCAAGCGGGTGCTAGGCAGTGATAATCACGCTAGCATGTTGGTTTGGAGATGTGTAACGTATGTTCGTCCACCGTTTACTGAAGAGGGCACTGTTTCGTCTACCAGATGTGGGGTGACGCAAAGCTTGAAGTGAGCAAAAGTCGACTTAGCAGCTGGAAATGAAGTCACTGACGATCAAGCTGGGTAATGTTGGTCAATCTCGCCTTCCAGGCTGGATTCCACATGATCCACCTTGCGCGTTGCTTGCGACGTTACAGGGCATGGTCCGCAGTCGGCACTAGCGGCGCATCTGCCGTCCTGTCTGAGTTGGACTGACTATTCAAAGCGTTGTTGGTGTTGTGTTGTCTGCCGTGTAATGGGTGATTATGATGCAGAGCAGTGAAAGCCGCAACTGTCTTGCTGATGCCATCTTATCTTTGCACGAGAGCCAGCAGTTTGTGGCCGTACGTTGTTGATAAAACCTAGGCGCTTTGAACCAGAATGTTTGCTCAGAGATTTTACATTACATCCCCTGTCCATTCATTCAGTATGTCACTGTGGCTGTACGGCAGCAATACATCAGTTCGATTGGCTGATGTCCGGTTATTGATGATGATATTCGCAACAGCTTTGGCAAACCAGGGAAGACAGGAATTCAAGAACAAGGCACCGAAGGCAAACAATTGTTTTCGATGAATTCCTCGTCAGACCTGTACAATCATATGGGTAAAGCGCAACGGAAGTAACAATGGTTTCGATCAGTTCAAATGAAATTGAATCACGTGCCAACTGGGGGCATAAACCAGCAATAAACCTAAACGATAAGCGTACACTAGGGCAGAGATGTAGTCAAATGACTTCTTCCGGCCTCCGAATCGTCCACTTTTTCTGGCCATGGTAAACTGAGGGTTTCGATCAGTCTCTTTTGTGAACACAAAAGCGGTTGATACAACCGAATACTGATCGCCTCAGCTGTAGCGAGGGTACGGAGGCGCAGGCCTTTCGATTGCAGTGGCGGAACCTTGTAAAGTATTCGAAAGGCGCGGACTGGATCGACTTCGTGCCCACTATCAACTAGATGAGCCATAATAGAGCTAGTTATAGCCCCGCAACCAGCGTGGAAGGTGCTCATTAATGCGCTTTGACAAGTGGCGAGCCGTTCGACCGATGTAAGTAGCGCCACAGGCGCACTCGAACTGATAAATGACCATAGAAGCGGTCAGCATCGGCAATTTGTCTTTGTTGTAAATGCGAATGAGGGGTTCCGTTGAGAAAGTACACTTGAGCTTAGCAGCTGGAAAAGTTGACTTAACGGCTGTAGAAAGGCTTCTGGCTATACGTTCGGCTGCTATGGTGCTGTAGAATTCTGAATGTAGTATTGACATCAATCAGTTGAGGTGAAGTCTACTACTTCGTTAATGGATGCCGGAAGCCTGCGTGAAGGCGTAGCCCGAGTGGTACGCGCTCATTCCTTAGGGAACTCTGAATCCTATAAATTCTGGCTTTGTAGCAAACTGCAGTTACGTATAAATCCGTACATGGTATTAGAGTTGGAACAGCCGTAGCTTGTGTGTTAGGCCAATGAGGATAAGTTCAGAAACACATAGTGTTTTGTGTGAAAGAGAGCAGACGTCTGGTAGTCTTCAGTGAAGCAATATCACTCCTAAAAGGCAATCCTAAAATATTTATCTTAAGCACGGTGAGCACGCGATCTCACAATCCGCTGATTGAGCTGCATTCTCCGATGAATCTACGAGGGTAGCCACTGGTAGGTAGTGAGCTCCAGTTTAGCGATTGGACAATCGGCTGAACGTATTCGTCTGACACGACTACATGGGATCATTAAATGTCCGTTTGCATTGTATTAGCGTGGAGCCGGCGTGATGCAGATAGTGAACGAACCGCATTGTTTCTCTCTAGACGAACCTTTAAATCTACTCGTCTTCACTGCGGAGGATGAGAACACCCAAATAAGGCGGCTCCGCTGCTCAGTTACACAATAGGCCTACAAGTTAGTGTGTGCAGCATTCAAATATGCTAGCAGCTGCGTTATCTGTCACTTTGATGAACGGCACGGCTACATAAGTCTGTAGTATGGCAGCTGCATCACTGCTGGCGGGACATCTCGTTCGCTCGCTCAATCCCTCTTCGTGAGACCGTTCTGACTTCATTGAAAATAATAAAAAATAGAAATAATGGAGTGTGAAAAACAAACTAAAAATGTTTCATTCTGATTTGAGTCAAAGCGTATTTTCCTTTGATTCTCCCTGCTTATTGATGGCTCCAAGTGCATTTGTTGGAGTGCTAACTCCATGATATATATATATATATATATATATATATATATATATCATGATCAAGTTGAAAAGGATCGTTGTTTTAAGCATACAGCTAGGGCTGTCGTCGACATCTGAACTCACCATATTCATCAGGGCATTATCAGGGGCCAGGGCGTCTCGTGTGTGTTTGATTTTCTCAATGATCTTGCGAAGAAAAACGAAATTGTGCCCGCGGGTTACGACGGGTTCCATAACGAACCAAAGAGAACTGTAGAGAAGGAACAAGATTGAGGACAAAAACTCGACGTATGGATCCGTTCCAGGGTCGCATTGTGGATACACAGAAAAATCGAAAACAAATTCCTGCAAGTTATTATCTATAGTCAATAAAGAAAACTTTGGCGAATTCGCAATACTTTTGAGCAATCGTGTAGTTGTCAACAAAATCTTAATCGAAAGGTAGATGTTTAAGATGATGCAGTAAGGCAATATGCACAATCAAGAGCTGGAGTTGCCAGCAGAGAAATTTAGTTTGTGGTCTGTACCATCGAGCAAATGCAATCTGCAGCCCTGAAACGAAACAGCACTCCGCAAGAAAACGGGCAATTTCATCCCATTCATTGGATAAGCATTTCATTCCGCCTGATGCTGCCAAATCTGTCGCTACAGTGCCATAAAATGGTGTCTACCTACCTTACAATTCTCTTAAAATGTCCGACTGCTTTTGAAATGTTAAATAAAGGTTTCAGCCGCTAAAACCAAAACTACTTGCTGAAACAATACCATTGATTCTTTGGCATCTAAAAGAAAATTTAACGAGCGAATCCGAACCTTTTAGCTTACATCAACTAACTTGTACCTGTGGTGCAAGGTATCTTGGACCCATGACCAGTTGCTTGTTCAGACGGATTGCTGATCACTGTGCTACATCACTGCGGAAAAGCGCGGTGAACATCAACAGGTCCATTCTGGAACACTTGGTTGAAGGCAGCCATCAAGTTCGGATGAACGAGTCCTTTAAAGTCGTCTATAACATCCATAGAAGATACCCAAAGTAGCTTAAGGAACATCCAATAGTCATCACCGAAGCCATCGCAATTAGGATTTGAAAAACCGAGCTGTGTGTACAAATGACACTAGTACAAGCTTTAAGCTTGCCTTGGCCATAAACTCGATCCAACATTAATTTTGCAACGTTGACCGCGTGGTCCGACTGAACAAGCCATTGATTGATATTTCATACCGCTTAGCTAACCAGCTGTACACAAGTGTTATTTCCTTTATGTTCATTTATCCAACTGTGACAAAGTCTACACGAACTTAGTTACGTCTTAATTTGCTTTACAAATGTAGCTGCCTGAAGTGGTTTAGCGAAAGAATATTATCCGCGCAAATGTTAATACCAAAGGCGTTCTGCGTGTAGGCGAGTGCAGTGCATTGACCCATTTGTTAGCAAGAACGAACGTTGAACGCCGCCAGGAAAGCGGGACAACGTGGCCTTTTAAGGGGGTGCCAGAAGGAGCCCAGTGAATTATGCTGGGTGATGGCTACGGATGACAGAACTCCGGTAGTATTGCAACTGTTGTCAATTCGGCTGAGAAATAAAGAAGAAGGTTGAAGAATGGGGATCGGCAATGGAGTAGGTTAAACAGATGGAAAAGAAAGAAAAGAGGCATCAGCAGTGCCATAGTTCGCGTATTCGCCCTAAGGCATGCAGCAGATAAAACGGCCATTGTAAAGCTGCGCGATGCGAAATGTGGCTAAAGTTTGATGAAACACCGATGTTCGTATGCATGTCGATGGCAATGTCAACACGGACGAATCACTAATCTGGGATTGGGATCAAACGAAAGTCGCAGACAAGGTACATTCAGAACAGCCAGATGTCGGTTGCACTACCTGATGCACTCGTTTGTGTCTGCGAGCTTAATACTCACCATGTGCGCTTCTTGGATAGTTGTGAAAGCGCTGTCTACAAATGCTGGATCGAATATGTTCCAGGCTATATCTGACAACCAAAGACTGGAGGACTTCCCGAGTACAACTCAAAGCAAAGGGTCAGGTGAGGGTAGTTACTTGCACCTGCCCAAGTCATAGTGAAGGGGCAACGGCTTACGCTGTATGTCTGTTCAAAACTACGGGGAAAAGTACCGACAGCAAAAAGGTGTCAATTTTCAGACATTACCAGCAGTGTGCGATGACCGGCGCTAGGCCAATGGACAGATTTAGAGAGCTAGGTTCTGCATGTTAGCTCACTGTTCAAGGTCGCGCTGCACCAGTTTCGGTAGGTGTCAGGCATCTCGGTAGTGGTTGAATATCAATGAGTTTGACACAATCCATGAATGTATAATTGATACCAGTGGAGTATGTTTTCGCGTTGGTTTCAATTTCCATAGGACTCAGTGTCATGATACAAAAAGGAGAGGAGAGTGAATAAAATGATACTTGAAATGGCAGAGTTAGTATGTGGTTTCGAATGACGAATGATTCGCGCCATGTTTATTGACTACACGATGTCGCTGCGCAACACCGATGACATAAAGTGCAGAGATAACTCACGCTTTAACTCGATTCAGCCGGTTAACATCGTAGGGATGGGACCACTGTGGGTCGTGGGCCAAGAGATAAATGAGGTAGGGAAGTACGAAATCAGGGAGAAGTCCATAGAGAAATTCTGGAATGGAAAAAACGGTGGAGTTACTCTTGTAGTCAGCACGTCGTTTTATCCCAACACGAAACGGTACACAGAATACAAACACAGACGATAGGTGACGACGTGTCACGCACAAAAAATACGAGCCTGAGAGGAGAACGTCTGCGTGAGTTACACTTACTTGCATCTTTAAGATATGATGGATGTCGATTCAAAAAGTCTCGGCGTCGCTGGATATTGCCGTGTAAAAATTGTTTCGCGCGTTGCTTGAACGCCGAGTCAGGAACGTCAGCAGCGTGTGCAAACATGGCCATGTATTCAAGCGGAAGGCGCAAACGATATAACCCTTGATTCAGTTTCATCAGAAAACGCGATCGAACTTGAGGACAAGGATCCTAAGTAAAACAATAAATGCTGTTATAAGGAGTGGCAGATAAACCAGATAATGGCCTAGAGTAGTAATCGCACTATAGACTCACGCAGATGATATAAGTCATGGACTGATACCAGTCCACTTCGATGTTCTCCACATAGGATTGGGAATGAGCAAGCTTGAGCCAAGCTTGGGCTGCAACCAAACGCATACGGGACATCTCACCGGCGCTGAGAAGAGAATACAAAGGCAGTCAAGAGAGGAAACTGTCATAGGTATGCAGTAAGTAGAATAAATTTTGGCTGAATTTTCTGGGACACTAATTACGTGGTCTATGTAGTGGATGGACGGAGAATAAACAGAAAAACTATCTAGCAAATAGGCTGGTAAAACGGTCAATTAAAACTCAACTGTTCACCATATATTTAGCGGGAAAGTCTATTCCGTAGATCAAAAGTATCACCTTGAAAGATCTGAGCGAAAAAAGACAATAAACAACTCCGGAATCCACGGGAGGGTTGCAAGCACCTCGCGTCGTGGTAGCCATTCTGGTATCAAAAATAAAAAAGGATTCAGAGCTAAAATTTTAAGTGCCTGCTGTGAGATGTCCTGTGCCCTAAACAAAAAGTGGAGACAAAGTTGCGCATACTGAAACGCAATGATCACGTGTTGTCCAGGCGTAGCACAGCTGGTTACTTGCCTAGTGTAGTAGTAACACGGCGTAATCCATCTTTTATTGAAAGTCAGCCTGGGAATATTAGTAACTTAAATATAAACATATCTAAGGTGAAAACGATGGATTTGTATGAAAGTTTGAACAACCAGGTAAACAACCACATGCCGGTGTGGCGCACAGTCTGTGCGGACCGATATTGGGTCGAAAGAGTGAGCCTAAGGACAAAATGCCATAGAGTTAGCAGTGAGAGGATGCTCATTTCAGTCTCGGCACAGTAAAGGCTTTCTAAGGATGTTAACACAAAATGAACAGTCACCAATAGTCTATCTACTTTGTTGCCCGGTAGAATTTCAAGTGACGTATAGTGACACTATAGAAAGTAGTTGGCCCATCCCATGCATTGACAAAATAACTTGGACAAATTATTCTGTGAAGCACTCGCAAGCACTGCGCAGCAACGATCGAAGCATCTTCCTATTGCATAAACATTCGATGAAAAAAGCAAAAAAGTGTGTGCTTATTTGTAACCTTTCACATTCTATTTTAAATAACCCGAGAGTTAAGTATCACAGAGTAAGGACTGATCAAAGCGAATCGGTTCGGTGAGTAAAATGGTGTGAGTGTCATTCGGTTTGACACAGATGACCATGAGAACATCAATAAATGGGAAATGAATTGAGAGCGACAATTGAAGACGGTCAAAAGAGAACCACGAAAATTTAATAATCGTTGGGTAGATGGGATCCGAGTCAGAAGCAGTGGGTTAAAAGGCACAGTGCCACACACAAATGATGTGGCCCAGTTCGAGGCCACCATAGAACAAAACGACGCGCACCAGACGTTTGTCAGTCTCGTCATACTTACTTACCTTAAGACTGACTAGCACAGCAATAGTAGCTTTTGGCATAGAACAAGCGCGGGAGTAGTCGATCAGCAAGCATATCAAGACTAATAATTGTCCAGCCGAATTAAGTAATTTGAGTTCGAAAGAGTGATCGCTAAGCGCCACGGCATGTGACCAAGAAACGACTGGTGATTTCCCATATATATATATATATATATATATATATATATATATATATATATATATATATATATATATATATATATATATATATATATATATATATATATGGTAGTTGTGCCCCATGCTGAGGCTGATGTTGCATTCTTGATGCTTCTTCACTGCAGTTGGGCTAAACCAACCTACACTTAAACTAGGTCTTTTTAAGCTGGATAAATTTCATTCCGCTTTATTTGGTTTGTTCTGCCTCCCTGAATAATGTTCTATTAACTGGCCACGTTGCTTACACTAATTGCGCTTATCTTCGGTAATTTTGTTGCGTTTGTAGCATTTTAAGTAACTTGTGGACATTTCTTACTTATCACGGATTTGTTGCTGATCAACTTACTTCATATGGTAATTTAGCGAAGAGTTATGCCAACGTATCTGTATGCATTATTGGATTTATTTTATTTCAGCTTGTCGTTTAAATTGAATGGCTGTTGTTTGATATCCCTGGTATGGTTGCGCTTGATGTGTATGTTAACACAGTCACATGTTCCTGTTCCGTCTCAGAGAAGACGATGATGTCATCACCGTACACAACCACGCCTTGCAGGTTCGCGAGGACCATCAGCAACAAACGCCTGAAGGTAGCTGGGGCGTTGCACAATCCAAACGGCATTCTCAAAAACTCATACTGCTGGCCATTGACACTGAAAGCCGTCTTGTGGCGATCTTCTTCTGCGATCGGCAGTTGCCAATATCCCGAGCGGAGATCAATCAGAGATATCTGCTTCGCACTGTGAAGGCTTGAGAAAATTTCTTCCATCTGAGGCATCGGGAATGCATCCTTCACCGTCACCCTGTTTAGTTCTCTGAAATCGATGCAAAATCGATAGGTTCCGTCGGCCTTCTTCGTCAATAGCACGGGTGATGAATACGGGCTGTGCGTTCGCCTGATGATTCCTTTCGATTCCATCTCGGTCACCTGCTTCTGTATCTCCACCAGGGTGTTCTGTGGAATTCGTCTGAAGATTGGCTTGCATTGTCCTCCTGGGATCAACGGTATTCGGTGTTCAACCCAATTGCAAAATCCGTAATCATCTTCCGCGTCTGTGAATAAGTGGGCATACCTGCTCAGTACGTTGCGTATTGCACGGTTCTGACAATCAGGCACGGCTTTGAGGGCACCAACCCGGTCGGTTCTCCCCTTGTTTATCTCGATCGTCTCGTTAGCCACGATCACCACATCGTTTTTCAGGTCAATTGTGACACCGAGCCGTTTCAGGATGTCGGTTCCGATGATGGTTTCGGTCGTCTCCTCCACGATGAACATGTCATGGCGGATGAGCGTTTCTCCTATCCTGATTCGTAACCGCTGGGTGCCCGTCACTTTCAAAGAATGCCCGCCGACCGTCTGCATCGTGATTGAAGATGGATTCACTGGAACCCCGTTGAACCTCTTCGTAATTGACACTGCCGCTCCTGTGTCTACTATGGCTCGGACAGACACACCTTCTATAGTTACCTGGAGGACTGGTACTCGCCACCGACTCGGCATGGATAGAGAGAAACAATGGGGCACATTGACGTTGGTGCAGAATCTCGCCACATGACCATTCTGGTTGCATCGGAAACAGCGGCGACCGTTCCGGATTACCCGTACATTGCGTTGTGAAGCGGTGCTTGAAGACTTTATTGACAACAGCTGCTCCACCATTTCGGATAGGCGCTTTACTTTCTGTTCCAACTCAGCATGCTGGATGCTTCTCACTACCACTCGTTCCGACATATTCTGGGCGACCGTCACCAGATCCACCGCTTTGCTGTCTCCCACCATCGACGCCAATTTCACCTGATCACGGAGTGGATCGGGCAGACTTCGGATAAACTGCTGTTTCAGTAGGCGCTCTCTTGCGTTGCCCTCTAACTCGGGGATCCCAATCGTTAGATGTCTGTCCAGCTGTTGGAAAAACACCATCAAATCCTCCTGTTCGTTCCATCTGGCTGCGTGAAATCGTTGCAGTGCTCGTTCCCTTTCCAGATCCTTCCCAAATTCTGCACACAAGGCAGCCTTCATCTCAGCGAACGAACAACCGGGTTTGGCCTTCCGAGTGAGCAGATACACCGCCTTGGCTCGTCCACTCAACCGTGTGCCCAAAGCAATTAGCAAATTTGCATCCCCCCTCACCCCCGTGCAAGCCGCAATTCCGTCGAACTCATCGAGCCACGCCTCCACGTCACCGACCGCAAATTGCTCCAACCGGGTCAACTCCATGGCGATTGGTCACGGCACCAGTGTAGCGAGAGCGACACTACTGGGGGGGGGGGGGTTAGACGTTTATTGCACACCGAAAATGGGCACATTAGGGTCTCGCGCGCGCCATCGAATATCGACTAGGTTTCCGTCCCACAACGCAACACAGGTGCGGATGTTAGAGACGAGCCAGTCCTTTCGCCTCGGGAGCTCTGACTTGGAAGATCCGCCTTCCTGTTTCCGCCTCGATCTCCGCTTCTCTGCACCCGATTTGGATCGGCCAGGAGTCGTTCGAGAGCTCTCGACTTGCTTGTTCGGGGCTGTGTCAATCGGCTCGGCCTCGGTGCTGTGGGCTGCGCTAGCGGCGTATTTGTCTGATTTATTGCGCTGTCCACATGTTCCCGCTCCGTAGTTCCGGCCCCAGGCTCGTCGCTAGCCGTCTTTCGCGATCCGCTCTCAGCTAGCTCCGAAGAGCTCCCCAGAGCCATTCTTGGAAGCGGCCCCTCTACAGTACGACCAGCTGCAGAGCTTCCGCCAGTCACGACGGAGGTCGCTCATCACATTATCACTCGCATCCCGCCAACGAGTGCCCGACCAAGACGACTCGCCTAAGACCAGTTACGTGTTGCAAGAGCTGAGTTCAATCACATGCTTTAGCTCGGTGTCATCGGGCCATCCAACAGGCCAAGGGCATCATCTCTCCACATAGCCCCAAACAAGACGTCATTGTGGCTCCTATCGTACTCCAAACAAAGTTACCACACCTGGTCGTTATCCGATCCAGCACATCGTGGGTCTCACCGCTAGTCTAGTAGGTAAAATGTTTTTAGCAAAATCAACTTGGTACGCACTTGAAATCAAATTCCGGTAGCCGAAGCGGACATGGCTAAAACTGCCGTGACGACGTAGCACATGCTCCACTTACAACTGTTTATCTCTACACGGGTAAACGATCAACGCACCAAAGAGTGTTCGTTTGGTATCGATTCGGTCAGTTTTTCCGGCCATCAAATCTGTTCTGCAGGCATCGTGCCACTACAGGATAAAATCAAAGACATCATCGACTATCCCGAGCTTTATTCTTCCAAACAGCTGAGACGTTTTTTATGGGGGGGTCTCGTCAACCTTTTTCATCTTTCTTTACCAGGATGTACGTCGCTTATGTAACCCCCTTAAGTACATTCTCCGAGGAAAGCTTAAGAAATTCCCTTTTTTGCAGCATCACACATTGCGTTCAAAGCATTGTAAAAAGCTATCGCCAACATAGCTTCTATTGCACATCACGACCCGG